ATATTTTTTTTTAAAGTTAAATGAGAATTCAACTTATTTATAATTTAATGGAGTTTTTAAGAAAGTTGTTCTAAACATATTTTCTAATAACCACCAGTGCCATATATAATAAAAACAGATATGTCAAAAATGATACTCCTTATGTTTTATGACTTTTTAATTACAGGATTTTACATAGATATATCTATAAGACTGAACAGGTTTCTATATCAATATATATTTTAAATGACATGTCTTATTTTACAATAAATTTTATATCTATATCCATTTAAATAAATCCAATCTGCTTAATTACTAATTGCTATATAAAAGGGTTGAGTTTGACGTTTTACTGAAAACAGCAACATAAAATCACTGAACAAATTTCATAAAAATCCTGCATTATTTTGCACTTTAAAATGTTATATTTATTAAACAAATGTTGCTGCCCACTCAACTTTCCTACAAAAACAAATTTAAAACTGAACCATTACAAGCCAAAAACTAACAAGTACATTTTAAAATCAAGAGTTGAAATCAACATTAAAATCCTATACAAAAATATTTATAGTCTTTTAAAACATTAATAAAAATGTTAGGTTCCTTAATTCTGCAGTGTGTGCATTCAAAAAGCTGAGATTATAACATGGAAAGCTGCATTGCTACCAGATAACCTCTCAGAAACTATATATGAACATTTTCAAATGTTCTCAAAAAGCATGAAGGTTCATACTGAAGTCAGAGTTATCTCAAACAATTTGAACCTAAACTTTGCAGAGTTTTAAGAATAATGCCCAACAATCTGAAATGGACTGGTGTCTCGTCTTTTTGTTCTTCTATTACCATCTGGGCTTGGGAGTTTTGTATCAGTCCAAAGATATCAGGCTAGAAAGAAAGAAACTTCCCCATGTATAGTCCATTAATATAATTGAGTCTGGAGGTTATCATATCCATTAATATTTTAATATTATCTTCAGGAAGTCAGTTGTATATTAACCCACAGAGAGACTCTTGCTTGTTGCCTCATACTGGGAAATCAGATTTTAGTTTAGAAGCACCCACAAACAATATACCTGCTCCTTCTTGGACAGTATGATCCAATTCAAAATAAACAGAACTACCACTCTCTGAAATAATAATCCTCCTCACCCTTCACCCCATGGAGTACTTCCATCTTGTCTGGATTCAATTCAATTTACTATTCCTCATCTTATCCATTACTGTCTATAGACATGTATTCATTCATTTCCTGAAAATATAATAGGAAAATAGAATTTGGTGTCTTCAGTATACTGATAGCATGCAGGTACAAATCTCCTGATAATATCTAGCCGTTTTATGTAGATACTAAAAAGGACTGGAAAACAAAATATACAGCATTGACCTGTTTTAAGGAGTACCTATCTCCAAAGAGACACCTTATGACAACAGCTCTCAACCTTTTGGGCACCAAGGACTGGTTCTATGGAGAAAGGCTTTTTCTGCAGACCAGAAGGGGCGTAATTTTGTGTGATGGCTGCATCTCACAGATAGGGCTTCACTTGTTGGTGCAGACCAGTTTCTGACATGCCTGGTGGACTGGTGCCAGTCCACAGACTAGGAGTTGGGGACCCCTGCCATATGAAATCTATCTAAGAGTATGGATGCCGTTCCTTGTGTTCTCAAACATCTCTACCAATTTAGAACTAAGATTGCCCACTGTTCTGAGAGATCAAGAACAACCAATAGATTTTAATTCTCCACTAACTTCAGCTACCCAAAGTTATAAAAGGAGCAAGCTATAAATATATTTTCTAAATAAATGGATCTCACTTAGTCTAGCGCCGACAGAAATTAAGACAAGTTCTTTCAATACTGGGTTTAAACATGCTGCCACCTACTTTTGCAAAATATAGCATCCAAATGTACTACTAAAATATATTTGATATTAACAATGGGAAATTGTAATGAACTGTGTCTGAAAAGATCCCGCTAGGGAAAGAAAAAGCATATTCTTAAAGTTATTCTCATTTAAGACAACTGTTTAAAATACACATCTTGTTTCTGAGAAGCTACAAGATTTTTATCTTTTTGCTAAAAGATTAGCACATAATCATCTTTGAAAAACATCCTTCTTTGAAGTATAGGGCCCTTTTTTTTATCTTAACTCCCCTCATCAAACAATACTTCCCCCAAAGAGACAATTTTTACTACTCCATTACTCCAAAATACATCCCTTCTAATACTTTATTTTTAAAAAAATAAAGGGAATTACTTGAAGATACTAATGGGAATCAAGTTTAAATCTGAAAATCAACCCAATTGCTTGCTCATCCGTCACTGTCAATAATACAGTAATTAGAATATTTTATAATGTTATTTGATTTACCATTTACATACTGGCTATAAACTTTAAAAGATGCAAAATTCCAATACATCCGGATGCCAAATTAGAGAAAGCTGTCTTAATTGCATTCCTTTACTTGATCCCAACTACATAACCAAAAAAGTGTTTGATCTTTACATATTTATCCATCATTTGTTTAGAAGAAATAATCACCACAAATCATATTGTAGAAAAGTTATATTTATAAGATGAAACTTAGCACATTTTCAGCCAGAATGATGTCATGTATTAAGGCTTCCAAGTCCTCTATTATCTACAATCTATATTATATTATCATCAATATGTATCCATTTTTAATAATCTTATTCTCTGACAAAAGTCCATATTATACTCTTTTACCAACAGCCAGAGAGCATATTCTAGAAAATGCTAGTTTAAAGAAATCTCCAAAAGAACTGTGAATATAAACTTGGGTTCAATTTGTTTCAAAGAAGCACATGAAACAAGAATTTAATGTTTTTTATACCTTGTCTGATAAGCAGCCTTCCAATCTTGATTTTTTTAAGATTTGTCCCTTGCACTAGCTCCAGATTTCTAGGAAAATTTGTAATAATCATCTTTTGGGTGATGAAATTAAGAGTCAGAAAACCCCATGACTATGTTAGTAAAAACATCAAGTTTCAGGTGCAAAAGAACAGGTCCATACACAAAGTCCAATTAAATTGATATATTGCTAAACAGCCTTTGCACAGGAATCTTCTCAATTAACAATTAGCACCTGCTTAAAGAAAGATAAGGAACCACAAAATTCAAAGGATAGGGATTCTAGATTGATCCCTCATTGAACTCTGACCACAGGTTTGCCACTCCTCCTACTACATCAGGGGTGTCAAACTGGTGGCCTACAGGCCAGATGCATCATGCACAGACCATGCACACCCCAGCTTCATGAAGGGAAAAATGTCATGTGACAGCAATGTGATGCCACGAGTTTGACACCCATGTCCTACATCAATTTACAACTTAGCTAGTCATCATTATATTAATCAAACCCAATCTAGCTTGTGATTTAATTTCAGAAAATTGGGTTATCTGAAATATCCACGATTCATTCAACAATGTACTGCATGTCTAACATGTTTATCAAATTAGCAGCTTCCCTCACTTTCTAAATTTTTAGTTATGTATCTGAAGTTTAATTTGGGAATCATACTCCAGATAAAGATTAGCTATAATTCCTAGCATATCTAATAAGTGACCACAATATATTTGGCTATTTTAAATTGTAACCCCAGTAAAGATTCATGTTTATTAGTAGGATATTGAGTTTCTGAACCAGAAGCACTAGATCTTAGGCCAATTGAACTGATATAGCTCTGAGTTCTTAAAACTGTTTGTTAAATAATACAAACACAATACTCAAGAGTCGGTCAGCAAACTACACATTCCTAACAGTTAGTGGAATACTAACAATTAGTTGGTTTGAAAAGTAATCTCTAGAGTAGACAACCTACAACGCACATAATACTGTCAGCATGTTTGAGATGAAACTGCACTATGGATGTGCTTATGGTATACTAGCCAAAAGGGGCCAAAACTCATCAGTCTTTACTGACAGTGTGTGCATGTGGTATAGGTACAACTAAGTACAATAATCTATACTTTTATTCTCACAGCAGTCTAATACTGTGGTGAGATGCACATGGTCTGTTAGGATGTTTGTTTATTGAAAGAAGTGGAAATTAGGATAGGTTTGGCCAATTTCATTATATGAAAATAAGCTAAGTGGTTTGATCATATAAGGACTGAATTATAAAATATATGAAAAAAAAAGTTTGAATTTATAGTAAAACTATTTGGAGTAGTGTTGGCAAAATCTTGAAATGAAAAACTTAAAGAAAAGGCAAGCTATGAAGCAATGAATGTGTATCTTAATAACAATGATTTGTAAGGGCAGAAAAGTATAGCAAGGGATATTGAACAGCACTGGTAAGGCAGTTTAAGCTATGTTAACATTTTTTCATCTTTCACATCTCTTATTTTGTTGGTTTATGCTTGGTTATTCATTTTCTGGTTTCTGTATACTATTACTTACCCTAAAAGTAAGGTTAAATAATAGACAACTATGTATAGGGCACAGAGTACCTCAATATACCCCTTGATAATATATCTTTGGTCTTATTTTGTTCTCACCTGAAAATTTAAATATTCTCCTATTGGTCCTTGAACGGTACACTGTAATACAACTAGCTTTGTTTTGTGCTGTTTTCTTCTAATATTGCCAGGGAGCCAGGAGTCAAAACACATTATCCCACAAGTGACTAACACAACCTATTTCCAGCACATGTGCAACTGCCCACCCTCTATTAAGGAAATATTATTTAGCTTAACTGCAATAACTTACAAACATTATATAGATGGAACTAAAAAGTTATCAATTCTGGTAGCATGCACACAACTAGGTTGCAAATAAGCAGTCCCCTAATTTAAAAAATAGAGCTGGAATTTACTATGTAACCACAGAGATGTAACAACTTTCAGGGTATGGTAATCTACTGTTTGTTACTCTCTACCAATAGACAGAGAACGGAAAAGTTTCACAATGTGAAAGGGGGGGGGGAGTGTTAGAAAGGATCGTGGGAATGGAGAGCAGAACTCCAGCAGAACCACCAAGGGACCCAGGTGGTTAAGTTACCTGCGCTGGAAGTCTTGCTCAAAAGGAGTCAAGTAGGGATCTTTCTCCAGCAGTCGCTCCAGTTCAGTCGGAAACGAACTTAGCACGGCCATTTTTGCAACTGTAGTGGCACTTGATTAAAAGAGGTCATCTGGAAGCGTCCCCCTGCCCACCCTGCTTTGGACCAAGACTAAGATAGGCTAAGCCAAAGAAGTGGGCTGGCAGAGCCCCACTCCTCCCTCTTTTCTAGTGGAGCTAAACAGATGCGCTCCATTCAATCATTCGCTTAAAAAAAGGGGAAGGCAGGACAGGGCCGTTCCGGGTAATCGACCGCCCCCTGCGACGTCGCTGGGATGATGCGGCAATTGGCGCGTACAGATCTGCAGCTCTGAAGTCTCGTCCCCACGTATGGACTCACGTTGAATTCTCGCTGCGCCAAGAGCCGGCTCGCCTGAGACTCTGCAGTCTTTCACGCTTAAAGAGCCGGCGGTCTAATAGCCCAGGCGCTTCATCAAAGCAACATTGCATGGAGAGGATCTCTTATCAGTCACGTGTTGAGATCCCGGAACGAGAAGTGCTGCGGGAGGGTTTGAAGAAAGCGTTCTGGATTACCGGGTCGGGATGTGAGGTTCGCTAGGAAGTGCGCAAACGCAGTCGGGGGGTGGGGTTGAAGCTGCTGCCCACGAAAGGGCATCGGCGTTCTTAAATGTTTTGAAAATTGTGAGCCAGAGTGGCAAACTGCAGAGAATGCAGTTTGGATAATGTGAGAATAGTTAGGGAATGTTAAAGTCTTTGTTGTGTTACTTAAAGCCTTATAGAGGCGGATGAAAAACACTGTTTAGTACACGTAAACTTCATTTATTTCTGTAGGATGTTTTTGGAGAGTATGATTGTGTCTGTTTTAAATTTAACTTGTATGCAGTACAATGTAATCAAAACTTTAACGTGGAGATAGATTTATTACTGTTATAATTATAACCAATGCAACTCATTTGTTTTTCCACATTCTATAATGGCAGAGGCATTTCCTAAATTCAGTAAAACAGTTGGTTATACTGTTAAAAAATAATGAAAGTTTAAAGAGTTTTAACTATTGTTAATTTCTAAAGTGCCTTATGACATCAGATAAACTGGTATCATAAATATAATCTAATATATTCCCAGAAAAATCAAAAGTTAATTGCAACTACCGTAATCATTACTTTATGCAAATTTCACAAAAATAAAATAATTAGATTAAATATAGTGAAAAGCACAATACAAGTACATTATTTCTATTATCATTCATAGCACATTTTCAAGGGTGCCAGAAAATTATTCAAGAGAATAAGCTGGGCCAAGGAGCTAGAATAATTGTTTTAGCTAGAATTTAATATGGCAAAATTGCAGGGGAGATACAGCCAAGTTCCAAGTGAGAGAGGGTATTTGCTATTGATCAAAAAACATAATGAATGACCTTCATAAAATTAGTTCCAAAATAAAAATATTGTCTTTATGGTATATATTTCCAGTATAGTTTGGGGATGGAGAGGTGATATTAGCAAACCGCAATTATGCCTTTGTTCTAAAGTCAACCACAACATTGTTAATTATATGGATCCTACTATATGTGTGTGTCAAAAGTATGTGAATTTTTGCTTTCAATAACTGGTGTTCCTGCTCTTGAACAACAATAACTGCAACTAAAAATTTCTGATAACTGTCCTGCACACTGACTTGGAGGAATTTTAGTCCATTTCTTCTTACAGAAGGAGCTTCAACTCAAGGATAATGATAGGCTTCCTCATATGAACTGCCTGTGTCATATCATTCCACAACATTTCTATAGGATTAAAGTCATGACTCTGACTTGGTCATTCCAAAACTTTAACTTTATTCCACTTTGCAGGATCCAATCTGAGTCGGTCACCAGGACCAGAGATTTTGTTTTCCAAGCTTTCAAACTCATGCTGAAGCCCATCCTTAGAACACTGGGCTGTTCTGTGTATGGTATTTAGGAGTGGGGGGAGGTTGTGTAACTTTTAGTTGTTAATTGGAATGTTGATGGCTGACTATTTAAATCATTGGTTGTTGTTTCCTTGTTCTGCTGTGTCCTCTGCTCCTAAAGTACCTGTTAAGATAGTGGTAAATTAGCATTCCTGTTGACTGACAAGAGACTGTTTCCCTGGCTATTTTTGTCTCTGCTCAGCCAACAATCATTCTACTTTAACCACTCTTTGGTCATAGGAAGCAATGGATGGAACTATCAACTATGAAGAAATGGATGGAAACTAATCAGGGAGAGGACCCACCTAAAACTAAGGAAAAATTTCCTGATAGTTAAAACAATCAGTGGAACAACTAGCCTCCAGAATTTGTGGGTGCTTTAACACTGGAGGTTTTTAAAAAGAGATTGGACAACAATTTGTATGAAATGTTATAGGGTTTCCTGTTTGAGCAGGGGGTTGGACTATAAAACCTCCAAGGTCCCTTCCACTGTATTACTCTGTTTTGGGTCATTCTCTTCCTACATGTCCTATTTTCTCTTGAATTTAAGTTCACAAACAGATACCCTGACATTTTCCAGTGGAATTTGCTGGTATAATGGAGAATGTACAGTACTATTGATAAAGGCAATTGGTTCTGGTCCAGAGGTGTGTGTGTATCTATTTCCAAGGTTCAAATATAAGATCAAGAAACTGATCAACCAGTTTGACCTTCCATCTATCTGCTATTTAAAAAAAAAAAAAACAGTTAATAGGTAGTCCCAACAACAAAGCTAGACCACAATCTGATATTGTATTTAACTCACAGATAGTCCACTAGTGGCTTCTATTCTCTCATAAACTAGTACAGTCATTGTCTCTGGTCTGTCCAGGATCAAATATAATCAATTGATTCTTAGTAATAAAAACAACCCTCAATATATCGTATTTACATTTCTTTAAAACTATGAGTGGAATCTTTCCAGACAACTCCTTCTCACTATCCAAAAAAAGAGAGGTCTCCATTGAGAATATTTCCATAATACTTGTTCAACAAATCTTCCCACAAATTAAGACCCAATGTATGTTGACAGCTGTCCTCTAGCTGCATATGATGTCTCTATTATGCAAACTCCATCTATTTTTCTGAGAAGGTCAAGTTCATTAATGCCTCTTTTAGCCTCCCCAACAAATCTTTAATTTTCAAACAAAACTTCTCTTTTATATATGTCAAACTCAAGGCCCGGGGGGCGGATTTGGCCCATAGGACCCTTGGCCTGTGGGGCTACTCTGGAAATAGTGAAGGACCGGCCCACGGTGCCTTTGCCAGCTCACAAGGGCCGTGCATGGCCTTCCTGAGCTCTGTTTTTGCTGGCAGAGAGTTGCAGGAGGCCATCACAGCCAAAAATGGAGCTCGGGAGCCCATTTTCACTGGCAGAGCGCTTTGGTCACCACAGCTACCCCCCAACACAAGTGATGTCATGCTGGCCATGCCCAACCTGGTTCCTTAAGGTCAAACACAAACCTGATGCGGCCCTCAATAAAATTGAGTTTGACACCCCTGATATATGTTAACAATAAACCAACCTCCAATCCTACCTACAGTTGCATGGCTGATTTAACTACTGATATCTGTATCTGGATGTCTTCGTCAGGTTGATTTACAACTGTTACAAATTCATCAAATATTTTATCCTAGTTTTCATTTAAAACTTGTAAGTTGCCATCCATTTTTTCAAAAGTTTCCAAAAAGGCTTTAACGTTTAAATAATCTGAGTCCCATCTCTTTTTTATATCTCTTTTGGAGGTATTATAATATATATATAATATATATATATTATTTAAAGTCATTAATTTAGTATTGCTTTGTTCTCATCAAGTTTTCACAGCCAAATGTGTAAACTATTCCCTTTTGAGGATAAAGAAAATAAATGTTTCAATAAATAAAGAGCAAAAACAACAACCTCAAAACCACCTGAGGTAATAACTCTCACAACAGAGAGAAGATTTTAAAAAAGGAAAAGTTCCTATCTTTTAAAAAAATGAAAAGCAAGGATATGTACAAAAGTAAAATGAAGCAACAGAGTTCTTTTAGGAAAACTAGTAAAGTACAAAATCCTTAGAATAAAAATCCAGCATAGATCACACTGAGTCACTTTCACTTCAAAGAAGAAGGGGGAAAAAATCCTCACACCACTGACTTCCTTGTTGGAAAACAGATATTTTAAATCATATTTATGCACAAATACTGAAAATTCAAATAGGTGTTCTGTCCCTGTCTCCACACACACACAAACACAGCCAGCCGAGGGTTAAGAAAGCACTTGGCACGCACACAGGTTGTTATCTAAAACTTGGCAGCTATACGAGCATCGACTGCCAAGGGCTTTACTTCATCAGATAAACAGAAAAATATATACAAATTGCAAATAGTCCAGTTCAAAACAAGGAACCTTCGGCAGATTTACGCGTTGTTCAAGTGACTAGCCAGAGTTAGTTTTTGTTCGTCACAGAGTCTTAAATGGCCACCACACTCTCTTATATAGTCTCTGGGGTGTGGTCCAGTGACTCAGTTATAATCCCTGGCACGCCTCCTTAACTGCTGCAACCGTTTATCACACCTTCGTTGGCGTGGATCCAGGAACGACAGATCACCTCCCTCGCTCTCATCAGAGACACCTGGCTCCTAGCTAATCTCCTCTTCCTCGGCCAGCACTTGAGGCAGTGCCAGAGGGGAGGGGCCTGGAATGGGAGGCCTGGCCGACTCCTCTTCTTCATGTTCGGAGCCTTCTTCCTCCGATGAGATAGGCTCGGAGGGCGGGGCCACAACACTAGGTTCACAAACTTTTAAGTATGTGTGTGTGTGTTTTGGTCAGCCACAATTATATTGAAGCTAAACATCACTTATTTTAGCTAATTAAAATCAATTAGCAAAACACATTTTACTCTAACGTACTATGTTGCCCTATTTTAAACCAATAGGTTTATTGTTACCTCAAGATTAGCATTAGACTTTGACATGTTCTGTGCACATAGTCATAGTCTCTAGATAACTCTATTAGATAGTGTATTTCTTGTCTTCCCTTCTTGTCCAATTTAGGGTTTATAGTAGTGCCTTGATAACAGAATCACCCACTCCTGAAGCAAATGTTTGTATTTCCTCTGTTCTCTGCAACTCTTTTGGTAAAGCAGAACTTCTGGCATTTATGTCTCTTCTCTTTTTTTATTCTGAGATAGCTTCAGCAGTAGACAGATTCATTATAAGTGTTTGATATACATAAGAAAGACAGTTTATAAATCAACAGCAGCAGTTTCTAAACCAACACACAGCTGAATGTTTAGATATCCTGGAAGTATATCACTCAAAATTTATAGTAATATGTGCTCTTTAATAGTTTCTAGACAAGAACTGATTTGGTAATTAATAGTTATTATAAAATCAATAATGTAAATATTAATATAGTATAAACACTGTAAATATATGATATGTGTCATAAGGCACAACTACGGGCCTGGTGGCTCAGCAGACTGATAGCATTGTGATTAACACGAGCTGCCTGCAATTACTGTAAGTTCGAATCTCACCAGGCTCAAGGTTGACTCAGCCTTCCATCCTTTCTAAGGTAGGTAAATTGAGGACCCAGTT